GTTGGGCCTCCAACAGTGTGGATGCGGTAAAGTAGTCGTTCGAGAAGGCAATTCCTCGTATTTTTCAGTTGTGTTGTGAAACTGGAAATTTGCCTTCATATTTTTGAATACAATGTAAGGATGAATGTATGCGCATCACACTATATATAAATAAAAATGAAGTCACACTATCCTGATGGGGATCTCATGCTAATCCTTCATCCCTCAAATGCAATGTGCTACTTTGACAAGGTCAGCTAATCTTTCGCTAGGTACCCTAATCACCACGCCAAATGTCGCGGAGGTATTTCGGGCTGTCTGTGCTTGCAAATAAGGATTCTGGTCATTTCAATTTGGCAAAGGGTTCGGTCCCCGCCCGTCCTGGTCAATAATAAACATTGCATATTTTCTACATTTTGTTTGCCAATCAGTGGCCCCATGACAGAATTAGATGAGTACCTTTATCAATGAAACATTTTCACTCACTGATGATTGGTGCAATTTATGCATACAAACATCAATATATTCGCGGGGACAACGCTTGCGAGTATTTCCCAGCTCACTATACTCACCAATCGTCCCACCAGCTCTACCTTGGTTTCAGTCACCTGGACGCAGGCGTCTGCGCGAATACACACCAATTAGCATTCTACACCACCCCGCAGTGATTTGCGTTGCTGAAATCGTGATTCTATTGACGCTCGCAACGCGGTCAGGCCGACAATTGCTTATGACGCGGTCTGTCTACTCAAAGAATAAAACGACCTGGCTACCTGCTCGACATCCCTGCTGTCATTGTCGCAATCAGCAACACACGAATCTACTACGACAAGCTGTGTGCGCTTGGTTCAGTCATCTCACACTTCCTCGCCGCTATCACTACATGGCACGAATGTTTGGCAGGTCCCGAGGGAGTCTCAGCGACATCTTATGCATTTGATTTGCGAAATCCACGACCGGTGGATGTCCAGAACACTAAATTGCTCCGAGCCAATATGGGCATTATCTACTGTTGTGTTTGTTTACCACCGTGGCTCGCCATTGCAGGGTGTGTTTGGGCTCATCGCACAGTCGACGGCATGAACAGGCAAAAACACTTGTACAGCGGAATAAACGAGCGCGTTGTAAGAGGTTTCGGGGCTTCTGAGGCTTGTCTGGAGAATCATCTCCGCCTTTCGAACTTTCGCACCAGCTGTCTCAGCTCGCAGAGTAGCACTTTGACCTGCACTTGCATGACGCTTTCTTCATCAGGTTCTAGCTTGGAAGGTCGTTAAACCGAATTATCGTCATCGTGACGTCTTTTGCAATGCCAGATGCACTCACTGAAGCTGCAGTGCTTGACATGATCATGCATGAGAAGCGCTCTTGAGCCTTCTTTCCGTTGAAGTTGGGCCGGTCATGGTCGTCGAGCGACGCCAGGTTCTTAGCAACGGAGTCCAACACATCCATGATCGTGTCTCGGCAAGCAAGAAAGGATTTCTTGGCGATTACTTGTTTCAACAAAATGACGCGTAGTCCGCAGTAAACTAACGGCGTTTACTGGGTATAGACATTGTGAACCCGGAAATGAGAGGATTTCAATTCTTTCCGACCTCCTTGGGCACGAAAAACGTATTAGGTGTCGAACATTTACTTACGTGTTTCAACAGTGAAGTTGAGACCATTGTGGAATGTGGGAGATGAGCTGAGTGGACTTTTTCACAATTCTCGTTCAATCCACCCGGGTTTTGCCGCTTGTATGATATTACTTTGGATGTCTCCACACCTCAGTGATGCTTGTTCATAACGAGTAACATTGGATGTTGCTTGGCATCACCAACACTTGCCCATGGAACGCTTCATCGCTAAACGCATGGAGAATCTCATGAATGGGATGAGAAGTGCATGAAACATAGAAAGGAGCGAAGGTACGAATGACCCTAAGTAGAAGGCATAAATAAGGATGATCGGAGGGAGAAACCCATCCACCAGATTAGCCCAACTGAAGAACAAAGTCACGACATCCTAAGTACTGACGGTGCTAATCGTTGCAACGAACTATTACATCAGGAAAAAGCCACTAGAAGGCATAAACAATTCCAACTCTCGCGACGACAACCGATGCCAGTACTTGGCATGCCCGGTTGGGTCACATCAGCCTCAAGCACAGGGTGAAAACGAGGCAATACACGACTGGCATTGAGCTTACCAGCTGCAAGCACCAGTTTTGCTCGAGTTGTGTCACCGGAAAACAATCGCGTCAACCGTTTCCACTACGTTTATTGTCGCCTACCGATGAACTCTTTGCTCTCGTTCATTCGGACCTTTATGGACCGATGCGTCATCCTGCACTTAGTGGTCGTACACGTTATTTCATTGCGTTCACCGATAATTTTTCGCGCTGTGGCTATGACTACTTCTTTCAGCAATACTCGAATGCACCCCAGAGTTTCAAAGTTTTCGTTGCATATTGCCACACGCAATTCAACAGACCAGTGTGTTGTCCAGCATATCTTCATCGTTGCCCTCGTGTAAATTCACTTACCGACGACACTACCGATGAGGACTCTCAAGATGCCAAGTGTCAACGCATTCTCGCCGCCTTCGCCATTTTTATCAACTGGTCTGTCAACTACATTCCGTCAATCCCATACTTCGTCTGAACGCGACAAATGGATTAAAGCCACCTATCCCGACTATGAATCCCTCGCGCAACACGGTACCTGGACTCTTTGCGCACCCCCACTGGTTGAAAGCCCATTGGACGCCGTTTACACTCTCCAAGAAATACGCCGCCGATAATTCTCTTTCCCGTTGCAAAGCCCATCTCGTTGTTCAAGGTTTCACACAAATTGCTGGTATTGACTATACGGACTTCTTTGCGCCGGTCATTCGCACTTCAAGCATCCGATTCCTCCTTGTTTTGGCCACCTATTACTTCTTGGACGTATACCACATGGACGTTCGAACAGCATTTTTTAATGGTACTCTCCAAGAAACGCTCTACATGCGCCAACCGCCTGGATGCTTTAAGCCTGGCCAAGAACACCTCGTTTGCCGCCTCAACAAAAGCATTTACGGCCTTATGCAATCTTCGCGTGAATGGAACTCCGCCCTCGATTCGTACTTTCGTTCTCAAGGCTTTACACCACTCGAAACGGACCCATGCATCTATTTTCAACAGTCGACCGAAGGTTTGGTTTTGGTGGGTATATATGTTGGCGATTTCATTCTTCTCTCTAGAGCAGTCCCCTGCTGGAAATAACCAAGTGCGAACTTTCTGCCCGCTTCACCACGAAGGATCTTGGTCCCTTGATGAATTTGAAGTTACACGTCTTGACGATGGTACCATTCATTTGCACCAACACAAGTGTGTCTCGGATATATTTGCTAAACACGGATATTCTAATTGTAACCCAATCTTAACGCCTCAAGACACTGGTCATGCTGCCGCTCCCACCTCCTCCGCTGTCTCTACCGATCATTTGGCTTAACGCAAAGTAGCGGGTGAACTACTCTACCTCACCACGACCACGGTGCCCGACATAGCGTACACTGTGACATTGCTCTCAAGACATGTCAACGATCCAGCTCTCAATCATCACCAAATCGCCAAGCGAGTCCAACGCTTCTTGAAAGGAAATCAAGACTTTGCCCTACTACAAGGAGTCCTCCGACGAAGCCTTTACGCTCGAACGATGCGTTAATGCCGACTACGCCAACGACAAGACCACTCGCCGTTCAATGTCTGGCTACTTCCTATTCCTCAATGGGTGTCCGGTCAGATGGAAATACAAGCTTCAAAACATCGTCGCTCACTCGACTTCCGAAGCCGAGTACATGTCCATGTCCTACGGTTTGCAAGAAGTTCTATGGATCAAGTCAATCCTTGAAGAACTCGAGCTCCCAATCAAGTCGCCGAACCTCGTGTACGAAGGCAACCAGAGCTCCATCAAAATGGCTGAACGCCCAGCTCTCCACCAATGCTCGAAACACATCGACTTGCGCCACCACTTCATTCGTGACCTCGTCAAGCAACGTACCATAAAGATTCAGTACTACGAATCCAACTCGATGCTTGCCGATATACTTATAAAAGCCTTGCCCCCCCACGACCCAAGTTCGAAGAGCACAAGGCGCCAATTGTCACCTCTATCTCCTCATGCAACAACCAAGAACGTCACGATTGGAGGGGAGTGTTAAGACATCGGCGTGAAATATTTGAACCACAAATCAAACACATATCGCCTTAAGGCCACGTCATACATAATCTGCTCATTCTGCACGTTACATGAGCCTTGCGCAAGCGAAAGCTAATGGAAGCCATTTCGTCCTAGCGTTGCCTAATGTAGAATTTCCAGAAAGCGATCATTCTCGTAGTCTAGCTTACACTCGGCTTAATCGGTCACTTTCCAATTTACACTCATTTACTTTGGCCATCGAACTCGACTTGGCGTCCTGCTAGCTTCTGCAGGCGCAACCTGAGAGGGGCATTGGCATAAGCTTGTGGCCGCGTTTCGAGCCTGGTCGTCCCAAGAGTCTAGCAGACCTTCGTCAAGCAAGTGCGAACATCTCTGGAAGATTTCACGACGATTCCAAGAGATATCGCTGGCAAAAATCCTCCAAATACACAAGACGGCTCTAGTCCATTAAAATCGACCTAACTATCAAAATGCACAGAGGTCAATATCAATCCAAGCCGAAGCGAAGCACCAAGAAACAACCACAACAATCAAAATGCTCGCTACAAGTCATGCGCCTGTCGGGCAGCAAGAAGGAAGCCACCTTGACAATGTCATGGACTTCTTTCAATCCCTGGCATCAAGCAGCATGAAAATAACATTTTGGTTGGATAAAATTGGGTTAATTTGGACGAATCATGGAGTGTTATTCAAACCGTCTCAACAGGATAGTGTGGAGTGCATCTAAGGTTTTTGGCCAATCAAATCGCACTATGTCAACATCGTTATTGTCCCCGGTTTTGTATTCTTTAGAGGAATTTTATCCGGAGGCTTCCTCCAAAGATCTCATTGTTGGAAGCGATGTGGCGGTTCATGGTGGCGACGGCGGCGGTGGCCGCCGCGGCGGACCAAGGCAAGCAATGCCCTGGCTCTCCGAATCAATGCAGTCTCCACGGAAGCTGTATGATCAACCGCCACGGCGAGTACATCTGCAACTGCCAGTGGGGCTACACGGGTTACGATTGCTCGCAGAGTACGTTGGCTGCGTCCAGCAACACCTTCGTCCACGAGGTGGTCACAGGAAGGTTGTAGAGATGTGCCCGCATGGGTTTGACCCGGTAGACAGTGGCAACCAACAAGACAAGATCCTGCGCGTGTCGATCATGCAACTCCCTGCAACGTCGTCGATTTTGATCCAGTTTCATGGCCACGTCGTCGAGTTGGACGCGTTTGCGTCGGCGCACCTCACCGTCGACGTCTGCGCGCAAGTATTTCGCCGGTTTCGCAACCTCGGCGATCTCGTACGTTTGCATGTCCTGCAATTCGCTCCCACGTCTTCCTTCGAAATGACCGTCGTGTCCTAGTCGTGTGCCGCCGTCCCACTCGCGTCCGACACGTCGTCGTCGTCGGCTCCCATCGCTGAATTCGACCTCACACTGAAATCGTTTCCCGTGTACCCAGTCATGAACAACCTGTTTTACCACGAAGGCAACCCACCGAGCACCGATTTCTCGTGCACGCCGTCGTCTGCGTGCCGCTTCACGAGCATCACCGACTCGAACGTGAAGGCGTACCTGCCTTGCTCCAACCATGGTCTGTGCAACGTCGTGTCGGGCTTGTGTGCTTGCGAACCGGGCTACCACGGCGCGAACTGCGGCTCCAACACCGATGCTGGTGAGCGAGACTTCCCAACTACTGGCCCAACCGAAACGGCATGGCGTAGGCAACATGCTGGACGGGCTAGCCACGGGTCCTTTCTTTTCGGGCAACTTGCTGCGCTTGTCTGCCATGCGTAGCCCGTCCAGCGCGTTCGACATTATCCACGCGGACGCGGGAGGCGCTCCGATCTTCACCATGGACGGCGTTGGGCACACGACGCTGCATGGCGCCGACGCTTCGCTGAGCGTGCCAATGCTGGTCACGACGCAGTTGGACGTCCAGCGCGGCGGCAAAGTACGCATCTCGCATGCCGACGTGAAGCTCGCCGACTCGAGACTGGTTCTGTCGACCACATCGAGCGCGTTGGTCCTGCCGTTGGTCGACCTCGACGTTGCCGCGACGACTGAGTCGGTCGACTTGATTTCGGCCCGCGTCGCCGGCACGACTGTGTTTCAAGTGTCTAGCGATGGCAGGACGAGTGTCGGCAGCGAGTTGAGCGTCGGCCGCGACGTGGGAATCGGAGGGCACTTGGTTGTGGCCCAAGCGAGTCGTCTGCAGGGACCACTCGTCGTGCACGATATAGCGCTTGTCAAGAAGCACACGACCCTCGAAGATGGGCTTGCCGTCCACGGGCCGTCCGTGCTCCGTTCGCCAAACGTGGGTTCCGTCGAAATCGGTAGCACTGCGACGCACGACGTGCTGGCGGTGACCGTCGAAAGCGGCGCGTCCGGTTCGTGCATGGCATGCCGCAGCGCAGACTCGGTACGATTCGTTTTTGAAATGTATATCGCTCTGGTCGTGGTGATGGCGACCTCGACCGACGGCGTGTGCATGTGCGGTGGCGAGTGTGTTGACGCGCCATGGATTCGCGTGCAGGCGCTCTTGTTTGACGTGGCTGCGTCCGGTGCGACGACGATCCATCAAGGCGGCGTGCGTGTGGAATCGGGCGGCGTGCACGTCGAAGCCGGCGGGCAAACGATTGCGTCGGGGGGACTCACGATTCGATCTGGCGGACTCGCGGTGGAAGGTATCGTCGGCGGCATCGTCGGTGGCACATGGATTGACGACGCGATTGCGTGCAGGTGGCACTGTGACCATCCACGACACTCTGTCGCTGCATCAAGGGATCGCAGTCACATCCACCGACCCGCTGCGGTACAGTCGTTGCCGGCCACGTTGGTGTGTAGATGGACATGTCGAGGCTGACGGGTCGCGCTAGATCGCCGCTGCGCGGTCAAGCGAGCCATCCCCACTTTGCCGGCACGGTTCTTGCGCTGGACGCACCGGTACGACTCGGATGTTGTCCGCGCGATCGCGATCGCTTTTGTACGCACTTGGTTGTACGTAGGCAAACGCGACGACGCCGTTTGATTTTGTCCGAGCGGGCGACGTGTGGCGCGTGCGCAGCGACGGGTCGATGTGGCTCCAGGGCGGGTTGACCGCCGATGGACCGATCGCGTCGGCGACGGGGCCGCTGATTGCGTCGCATCAAGCGTTGTTTCGACCGCGGACGCTCCAGATGCAGCCGACGCTCACGATTCCGTGCACGCACAGCTACGTCCATATCACGGACGACGGCGAGTCGGTGCGTCGGGACGACCCGTTATGGTATGGCATATGGATCGTGCAGTGTGGTTGTAGACGCCCCATGCGACGCAAACGATTGCCGTCGACGGCGCGGCATACGGCCAGCTCCTCATCATCCAGAACAGCGACCCGGACGGGCTCAAGAGCTTAAAGATCCCGCCGTACTCGTCGGCGCTGTTTGTGTTTGACGGGCAGGCGTGGCAGACGCTCACCGCGACCGAATTCGACACAACAAGGCTGCAACACGTCCAGGAGCTGACGGCCGCGGGCAACCTCAACATTGGCGCGTACCAGTTTGCGGCGCATTCGATTCAGGTCGTGGTTGTTCCGCGGCGGGCATCGCGAATGGCTCACGCCGCGTCGTCGTAGGTGGGTGGCCAGCCGTCGAACCGCGTCGCGGTGTACGGCAAGGGCGGCGTCCTGACATCGGATGCGTCGCTCGCGTTCGACGCAGCAACGTCGACGCTGCACGTGCACCAGCTCCACGTCGATCAAGTCGTCGGCAAAATCGACATGACCAACAGGTGGGCGTCCTCGTGCGTGTGATACGGCGTGTTGAAGCGGGTCTGGTAGCGAGCTCCGCGGCGTCGACATCATCGGCGGGTACATCCGCGGGATTAACATGAGCGCGCTGCTGCTCGAAGTGGCGGGCGACATGTACGTCGAGTCGAATGCGTACGTCGGTGGCGGCCTCGTCGTCGACGGGCAAGTCATGGGCTCCGGCTCGTACGTGGACTCATCGGACGCGCGGTTCAAGACCAACGTGACGGCACTGTCGGCCGCGCTGGCTAGAGTCAAGCAGCTGCGCGGCGTACGTTGTCGCGAGCGATGCCGCCACGATCACCGGTGGCTCTAGGTCGAGTACAATTACGACCGGGATGCATTTCCACGCAAGGGGTTCTCGGGCCGCCGCGAAATCGGCTTTGTGGCCCAAGAAGTCGACGACGTGCTGCCCGAGGTCGTCACGACCGACTCGGACGGGTTCAAGTACGTGGCATACTCGCGCATTGTGCCCGTCGTTGTCGAAGGTATGCTCGCCAACAACAGTGCATGGTGCTGTGGTTTGCTGGAAGTGGGCCGCGTTTTTGCGAGGGCGGCTGGTTGTAGCCCGCGGAGATCGTGGTCGCCGACGATGTGGTCGCGGCGAGCTGGTCCCGGACTCCCTGTGTGCATTTGGAATGACCGTGGCGTTGTCGTAGCTGTCAAGTCGCAAGCGTCGCAAGTCGACGCGCTTGAAAGCCAAGTCGCAGCGTTGCAAGCTCAAGTCGATCGACTCGAAGCCGCGCTGGCGACTGTCCTCGCCTCTACCACATCCACCTAACTCGCTGCTCCTGCCATCGCCAGTCTCGATGAAAGACCTGCATGGTCGCCACGACCCGTCGCGAGTTGCAGCCTGAGCATGCGGCGACAGTTGCTATTGTATATGCAACCCACGAATCCCGTTTTGCGACTATATGTTGTCCTGCATCGCCGCGGCGCGGCTGGCCAACGAGGTCGGTCCATTGTGTCGTGTACAAGTGGCCATGGCGAGGGCCGTAAGGCCAAGGCAAGTCGCGGTGCAGAGAATGGGGTGGGATGGGATGGTCGAGAACGATCTGAAGCAACATCCATAGACGAGATTGGTGGCATTGCAACATTGGAACCTAACGACGACAACTGGCAGCGGCTTGAGGCGGTCGGTCGGTCCCTTGGACTTGCGCCGAGCGAATAAATGAATAGGGTACACAACGGGGGGGCGGCGGCAGATGATCGGCTCAGATGAAAGCCCACCCGGAGCGTTCCCACGCCGAATCGCGCGTGGCGGTCTTGGACTTGTCCTGTGGAGATGTGGCTTGCGCCGCTGTGCTGGTCGAGGCGACAGGGCCGGTTGTCTCGCGGATGGACAGTGTCGGGAAGGTGGCGACCTTGACGAGGCTCAGCATGATGTACGAGGGTCGATGGAGATGGAAGAATGCCGCCGCCGGTGGCGGGAGCGGCACCGTTGCATGCGGCAATTCCATCGACCAATCATTGTGCAGGCATTGGAACTTCAAGTCGGGCCACGTCACGTGCGTCACGGCAGTATTGGGGAAATCCACCAATCAAGTCAACGATCAACGCCATGGGAAGATGCCTCGACAAATCGTTTTTGGGGTACATGTCGAGCCCAATTTCGACGAACATGGAGGGGTAGAGGAAGCCGTACAGACAACTCTTGGGAAAATTCCTCGTATGGATGGACTTGCGGGGATGTCGAAACGTCCAATCATATACGGCCAACCTGTTTTTGTGTTTTTGCAAATGTACGACATTGTAACATTTGAGAAAATGGCATCTTCTTGAAATTTTTGCAGATTTTGACTGGTCCTTTTCCAAAAATTGGCAACTTTTCTTGACAATTGTATTCAACTTTGTAGCAGACGGCGTTTGATTTCGGAAATATCAGGAGGAAACATTCAATTTTTCTCCAACTTTTTCAAACGAGGGACGCAGGCTTCACAAGGACGGTGGGGGGAAGCCACCCGCCAACGGCTTGGCCGCGGGGGCTGACAGTCTGTGGAGCAGCAGTGAGTTGGCTGGCAGACAGTTGAAGGGGACGCCGTTCTATAGCCCAACGACACACTTTCGCGGTGTCGAATCAGTGCTGGCAACCGCAGCCATGATGGATGGACCCCTCCCTACACTTTTCCAACCACACCCACCTCCTGGAAACCGGCCGATCGCACGAGTCGCTGCACGCAATATCTCCACATCATCCCTCTGCGCATGCATTGCCCGGTAAATCCCCAGTGACCTCGCGTCGTCAGTGTAGATAGAATTCCAATGCACCTCACATGCTTCGGGCAGCTCAAGTGCCGGATATATCCGGATGTCGTGACCTTTGACATGCGCTACATCGGCGACCGTCGTCGATGGGTACACACTGCGCCAGAGAGCGCAGCGGGTGCTGTCAGGACTGGCGTAACTTACACTAGGCTAGGCGGGCCACTGTGCATTCCCGCCACGAGCCCACCGCCACGAGTGCTGCTCGCACCATGTTCTGTGCTGCTGAGTCGTCCACGTCGACGCCGCCCGCAGCGCTGCACGTGTTGAGCTCGCCATGTCTCGTCCAAACCATCTTCGCGTGTCAACCTGGTCGAGCCTTCCATGCATGGTACGCTGTCCTTTCAATGGCGGTTGGTGGCCGCGTCGATTCGCTGTGGCGATCATGGATCGAATCCGTCGATGTTGACAGGTGCGCGCGTAGGACGGACGGCGACGCTGCGGCCGCCGCTGGTCACGTCGCTCTGTGTACCCTTCACCCGAGCGTGACGTATTCGAAACGCGCGGTCGACTGTGCGGCCAGGCACGGGCATGCGTCAACTGTGTTGTGGCTGGTCTCCCATCGACTTGGTGTGGTGTCGTATCAAACATGGGATGTCGCGGCAAAAGGTGGCCATGTCCAGCCATTCGACGCAGTTTGACTCATCATGGCTCCCTCTGCAGGTGGACATCTCGGAACGCTTCAGGTGCTGCATGCGCATCTCCCCGACCGCGGCGGGTCCGCGAATGCGCTGGACTGGGCCGCGGCGTTTGGTCATGAATCCACCGTCCGATGGCTCCTCGAAACGTACCCGCAGGTACAACTCAATGCCGCCATCTCCCTGCGCATACAACCATCGCTCCAACGACCTGTCCATTGCGTATTATATCTAGACAATAGCGACAGCATTCGCCATGAACGAGGCATGCAGACGTGGCCACGCGGCAGTTGTACAGCTCCTGCACGACAGCGGACGCGTCGAGAGCTGCTCGACGTCGGCCATGAACAGCGCCGCAACGAACGGGCACCTCGAGATCGTTCGATACTTGCATCTGAATCGCATCGAAGGGTGCACGACGGACGCGATGGACGGCGCGGCAGCGAACGGCCACCTCGACGTTGTGCAATTCCTTTCGTCGAATCGGTACAGAGTGACCTCCGCAACGACCGACAACGGCGCTGCGTAGGACGGAAGGCTGCACGTCATCTGCACTCCAACGCGCTGCCTCCAACGGGCATCTAGCCGTCGTCCGCTACCTCCGCCGCCTCGGCGACCCAGCGTGCTGGGCCATCCATTTGGACCCCGTTGCCGGGAATGGCCATCTCGACGTCGTGCAGACTTTGCTTGAAGCAGGGCCGTGCCGCGCGACGACGGCCGCGATGGACGTCGCCGCAGCAAATGGCCACTTGGACGTCGTGCAATTCCTCCATGTGCAGCGATTCGAAGGATGCACGACGGCGGCGCTCGACATGGCCGCGACGAATGGCCACTTGGACGTGGTTGCATTCTTGCATGAGCATCGGGTCCGTCCCATGCGGCTCGTTCCAAGTGTTCACTCATTCCTGCGAGTAGACCGAAGGCGGTACCGTCCGAGCGATGAATGGCGCGGCGCAGCACGGCCATTTGGCCATTGTCCAGTTCCTGCACATGCATCGGTACATGAATCCTTGCGTGGTGCGCCTTGACGTGTGCGAACGATCCAGGTCGGAGGGGTGTACGACCGCCGCCATGGACGGCGCGGCTTCCCACGGCCACTTGCATGTCGTGCAGTGGTTGCACTGCAACCGGTACGGGCTACGGCGGCGGCCGCGCACTAATCAACGGCGGGTTGAAGTAGACATGAAGGGGGAACGACGCGGGCGATGGACTATGCGTCGCTGCACGGCCACTTGGACGTCGTGCGATGGGTGCAAGCAAATCGGTACGACGCTTCGTATCGACGATTGTCGCGATGGTTCGTGGAGTTTGACCGAGCATTTGTAGGCCAGACATGGGCTGCACAACGTGGGCCATGGACTGGGCGGCGGCCAACGGCCAAGTGGACCTCCTCGACTTCCTCCATCGACACCGACAGGAGGGCTGCACCACGCAAGCCACGGAGTGGGCGGTGGCGAACCGACATGACAACGTCCTCGAGTGGCTCGCGGCGCATGGGTATTGCGTGTAGTTGAATCGACGTGTGTGTGTGGCTGAACCGATCGTGGGGTTTCCGTGCGTCACGGCCGCGCCAGTGACTCTCGCAGGTCGTAGCAGCCATCCAACCACGAGAGACGTGCGGTCCGAATCGCTCAGACACGGACCACATTAACGTACGACGGACCGCGTGTTGGGAAATGGGTCGTCGAGGGGTTTCCTGGCCATCCGCCGCCTGCAGCTCGATCGACAAGGCCCATTGTCGATTCAAGGCGGCGGCCTCTCCTTCGAAACGCAGCGGGTCGAGGATCGTTCCTTCATGGATGCCGCGCGCGTCGTCAGGGAAGCGGCGGCCCACCCACACGACGCGTTGCTTTAGATCGAGATGCCGGTGCCCGACGCGCTTCGAGATGGCCGAGCGGGCACCCTTCAGCGTCATGTGCATCTGTTTTAAATCGACAGCGAACGTCCCATGCATCGCCGCGCTGTCCCTGTGCAACACGTCCATCATGATGTCTAGAGAGACTCGACGATGCGGTCGCGTAGTTGGCGCTGTCCAGAGCTGGGCCACGTCATGGCGTCGATTTCCATGCACCATGGCGGCGGCACATCTTGCCCGAGTTTCTCGTTCTGGCCACTTCATGGGCTGCGTCGTTGCTGGGCAACGAGGTGGCGATTATGGAGACGAGGCCGAGCAACAACGAGCCACGTTTGAGTTGCAACTGGAGCAGCGGCATCGACGGGAATGGTCCCGCATGGAGAATCGACGGAACGACGACGTGTTGTACACACCCATGACATATTACGTTTAGTCGACGACGAGGAAGCCGCGGGCTCAGTCGACCCTTGCCGGCGGCATGCCCTTCTGTAGCTCGAGCAGCAAGAACCCGAGGCTCAAGTCTGCTTGGTTCGGGGCCAACGAAGGGTTGGAGTAGTCGTGATGCATCGTCGTTCCGAGCAAATGTCCCCCGACCACGGCGCTTCCCGACGCTTTGGCGCGCTTCAACAACGTCGGCGTGGCCGTTGTCGATCCACTCTTCTTCCGCTTCTTGGTCGAGGACGCCGCCGAGATGTACTGATGCTTGTGGGTTTGCTGGATGTGGAACTCGGACAGTTTGGTTTGCTCGTCATGGACTGCTTGCCGGAACGCCGCTTCAAGTTGATCGAGCTGTTCCTGGCGGCGCTTGGACTTCTCCGCCGACATGCTCGCGATCGACATGACGTTGCACGTGTATCGGCACATCCCTAGCACACCCGACGTTTTGTCAAACTTCTTGCTCAACCGCATCGGCGTGCAGTTGAGCTTTTCGCTGAGCCACTTGCGCAGCGGGATCCCGTTGGGGACGTCCGGCAGGAGGCCCGCTTTAAAGTCATCCGACAGCCGTGTGGCGAACGCGACTTCAGCGTCGCTCCACGGACCGCACCGCTGTTGCATGCCGCCGCCACTCGGCTTCCCCACAGGCGACAGCTCTTCCACGCCCTTCACGCTCATCTTGCTTGTGCTTGCGCCGCCGACAAGAATAGAAAACTGCAGCGTCAAAACACGGGGTCTATACGGCGACAGACGACGAAAGAATGGATCATCTCATGCACCAATTACCTTGGTGTTTGTATGAACAAATAAAACGTCTTCAAGGGCTTAAAACGTCACCTCCGTTAAAGCGTTAAACTCTAATTCACCCCAGCCACGGGGGGAGGGAGAGAGGGACGTTTTTCCGCGCGCGGAGGCGCTAAACACGTTCAACCGAACGACCCCGCTCCTGCAATAAAATAAAACGATCCGAACACAATAAAACTCAATGTTGAAGGGGGAAATCTCTTCCGCTTTGTATGCGGACGGCGGGCCGTGAAGAAAACCTCCATTTTCCCAGCTCAACCTTTTTTACTTGCTATTTGTATACATTGCCGTCGCCCCACGCACACCAGGGCAAGATTTTTGCCGACGAAAGATTGAACCTGGGTTCAACGTTCAACTTGCATTAAATTGCATACAAAAATTTAGTTCATAAAATAAAACTGCCCCCACGTCAAGGTTGACCAGCCTGCACGCTGGCGGATGCACGCCGCTGCCGCCGTTGATGGCCGCGTTCGTGCTGCGGCCCGCCGGCACGGCTTGCAACCTTTGATGAAGTCGTAGACGAAAGGCGTACAAGAAAGCATGGCAAAGCAGCAGGCCACCGAAGTAGCGTGACCTCCGCGCAGCAAGGACGTTGCGCGGATTTGCCGAGCCCGCTGACTCTAGCGTGAAGAGGGAGAGCTGTGTTGGAGAGGCTGTAGAATGCAGCACGCGTGCAAGATTGTCCATTCATCTCGACGTCGTGACGATCAAGATGGCCTTGTGATGGTCGCGCGACTCAATCGAGTGCACACCGTGGCGTTCGCGCTTGTTGTCGCGTTCGGCGTTTCGAACACGTTTTTTCATCTGGCATGTCCGAATACCTGGAATGGATATTGTACATCGGCGATTTGTTCATTCCTTCGAGCACGCGGATTACTGAAACGTAGCACGAGAGTTTATAAAACATATATCAGACAGACTGTCGGGTATTTGTTTCGTTAATAGGAACGCGGCGATTCCGCGCGGCGGGCTTGGGAACATGGACTGGTTGAAGAAGAAGACGAAGGAAGTGACGTCCAAGGTGGCGAAGATGCAAAATGATCATAAGATCAAAGGGCAGACATTTTCGGGCACAGGATATTCGATGCAGGCACCGTCGGCCGCACCGCCTCCAGCAACCTGCTTGCCAGCTCGACCCACGTCTGCCGTGGACCCGACCGTGTCGGAGGAAGAGCGAATGCTTCGACGACAACAGCAAGTACACTCTTCATGACATCGTCGCATGGTCTATTGAGCGATGCACTCGAGTAGGCGGAAGCGGCGGCAAAGCGTGGCGCGCCTGCCCCCAAGAAACGAATGACCAACGGCGGCGACGCATCCAATGCGCGACCGGACCATGTCGTTGACGACGACTCGACGACGTCGGAAGCGTATGAACAAGCAAAAGCTCTGGAACAAATGCACATTGCCGCTGCAGGATTCAACCCGTACGTTTCAAGCGTCCCATCGCACGTGACGTCACGGCCGTCCGCTTGAAATGTAGGTATGAGCCCACGATCAGCTCATCAACGGCTGCGCGCGCCGCTGCCACGACTGCTCAGTCTGCGCCATCACCTGCACGGGACCCTTCGTCATCCCTCGCTCGTCCTCCTCTTCCGTCGACACACTCCCTTCCTCCCGCCACCGCCGCCACGATATGCAAGATTCTTCAAAACATCTTGGACAATCCAGACGACGACAAATTCCACAAGCTTCGCGTGTCCAACGGCGCGATCCAAGCCAAGATTGCGTCGGTGCCGGAAGCCGTCGCATTTCTCCATGACATTGGTTTTGACGCGGTTGTGTTGGACGACAACGAAGAGTACTTTGTCTTGAATGCTACACGAACATCGACGGATGCATTGGTAGCGGCCGTGGCGCGGCTGCAGCCCACGACTTCCTAAACGGGTTAATCCATGTGACTTGGATGTACACTGGCATGGAACTGCAGGTACAGCTGGGCCAGGGCCGATAGGGACGTGTGAATGGGTCAACCAGGGTTGAGATTAAGAAATATGGGTCGCGATTGGCAGCGTCGTTGAGGCTGAAGGATGTGACCACGTTGGTAGATCGAGTAGCATTTCCCTGGTGCTCATGGCGACTGCAGCGTCGACGGAGGGGCCACTGGTGCCAATTTGCCAACCCGCGCGTGCGATCGTTGGGAATACTTGTCTGTGATCGCTCGTGTTTTCTCCGGATCAGTCAACAGCACTTGGTACTCGGCGTTGTGGATCTTGTACAGATGCGTCGCACACTCCACGATTTGAACAGCGTTGTACTTGGTGTAGTAGTGCAGCGTGGGCGTCTGCGAACAAAGAAGTTTCGTTAGTGTAACCTGATGGAGGCAGCTTACCCAAGGGCTCTTCTCCTCCGTGACGAGTCGAGTCATATATACGACGGATGCGGCGAGAATCGAAGGCGGGTACGTGATCGTAATAGAATAGTCCACGGCCGCAAGCTCCATCAAGTACTGCATGCATCAACCATGGAATTAGAAATGGATGGAAGAGATAGGTGAGGGGGCTGTACATGTGCGAAATGCCGCTGAACGTCGGATGTGCAGCCTGCAAGAATGAACCGCTCCAGGAAATGGTACACATTGGTGCCGCTGATCTTGTACTCGAGCGCTTCCAGCACAGTTGCTTCCATCGCCAGCATTTCTTCGTTCGTGTATGTGTGGTCACTGATGTAGATGAAATCTTCGATGCTGGGGGCAACGACTTCTTGGTACTTGCACGCGAGCATCATACATGCGCATCCAAGGAGCTGCAGCTTTCCGCGCGCCAATCGCATCGTGGACAAGCATCTGTCAACGAGGTGAATCGCCAAGTGCAACGTGTGCGGTACGAGCTTGTATTCTTCGCCAACTTCGACGAGCCAATCGACAAGGATGCCCCTCATGCGACAATTAATGTCACTTTTGACACCATCTTTCACATCGGACAGAAAGTCGTTTTGAACGCGGTATTTGTGTTCGTGAGAGCGATGGTACTTGTCAATCTCGCGGGCCATCGCATCGTCTTCCTTGGAATCGATCATGCCCACTTGCGCGACGTACACTTCCACATCATACTCCGAACCTACGTATCATATTTCACCACAATTCCACGGAAGAGTGGCATACTTAATGCATTCGTGCGCACATCGAACATGCGTTGTCGGTCTCGGAGGTCTTTTGTCTGAAATTCAAATGACTTCTGTCGTGAGAGTGTCGCGGATCTCCTCGAGACGACTCCTGAGGCAGCGTCGAGGACAGGAGCATCCTGGTGAATTTTTTTCTTCTTTGGCGACACGACGCCGACTGGAGCATCGTGATCTTCCTGGCTCGGGGATGTGGACTGGGTGCTGGACTCGGAGGTTTGCGACTGCGTTAATTGAGGGGCACCGGCGCCTTTGACATTGAGTCGTGTGGACATCCGCGTGGACGGCGCGGACGCTTTGTGTGTATTACTGATGTCTTCTAAAGCTCCTCGTTTCCTCTTACGATCTGTGGGATTGTTGTGCATCATCCTTGGGGCGGAAGCTCGCAGCGGAGGATAAGGCGGCGGCGGCGCGGGCAGGCCTGTATCGGCTGGTGGCAATTGGGGACTGCCAACTTGAGCGCGAAGGTCCACCGTATTTTTATTGTTGCATTTCAAATTTTACACAATAGAATACAATACCCCAGTACAAATATCTCGCGTATCACAACAAGTATTAAAATTCCATTTTGCAAATCAACCAATGAAACAACTTCAATTCAAATTCGATGATTTTGATTGGTTGAACGGCAAACTAAACTCAGCCGCATAATAGCGAATTTAACCGGATGCGATCTTTCACAACCCAACGGGCGCGTACCATGACCGACGCCGCAGTACCGCTCATCGAGCCCGGTGTGGACAGCAATGGAATCAAGACTGGGGACTGGAAAGCTTCAATCTTTGGCTGCTGTGACACGTTTGTGCCCAATGGTAACAACTTGTCATCCTCCACGGTTCTCTTGACACACGATAACCTGTAGCCCTGATGACATTCGTGTGTCCGTGTGTGACGCTATCTCAAGTCCTGGCGCGCCTTGGGTCGTTGAAATACACAACTGCCCTCATGACGACGTACGCCCTCGCAGTATTCTTCGTTGTAGCTGGCTGGTTGAACCGTCGGTGGATCAATGGGATCGCGGCCGTTCTCGCAATTGGCCTTGTCATTTTCAAGTGGAACTTGCGCATGAACATCCGTAGGATGTTTGCAATCCCTGGTGCGTGGTGGGAAGATGCTCTGTGCACCGTCTTTTGTAGCTGCTGCTCGTTGGCTCAAATCGCGACCCACGTCGAAAGTTACAACCCTGGAGCGTGCTCGTTCGAGGCCAAGGCGACGCTCCAAGGCTATCGTCTTTAATCCTGTACCAATCGCCATGTCGTTGCAATCGTGACCGTGTGCCTTCTCCGCCGTGACCAAGCATACGTATTGGGGACCGTTCTCGGTTTTTGATTTCGCTCACGCTTCAAGACCGGAGCAGGTAGTTCTTAAAGTCAACGAATCCTTTTGTGTGTATATCTTTTTTCAAGAGTGTTGTACGCTTTACATTTTTCACAGGTTAAAGGCGTTCGTTCGCCGTAGATTACATTGCATATTCAAGAATGATGGTGACGATGGGGTTTTATTCGTTCGATGGTATGGTAAACTCGAGAGTGTTGTTCATTTTATGCTTATTGTCATACAATGTATCCAGGCAAAGTTGCCTTGGCGTCGAAGGTACACGAGTTGGGGGTGTAGCTTTCGACGTGGGTTGCGATTTGGGCGATGGAGCAGACGCCGCAGAAGAGGACAGTGCATGCATCTTCCGGAATCGAGCCTGGAATTTGAAAGAGGAGGCGAACCTTCGTGCGCATGTACCACATGTAACCGAAGTACACAAAACCAACGATGACGGCAAGCACACGGAGCGCCGTCGAGTGGACTCCCATTGCGACGAGGAAGAAGACGTACGAGGCAAACGTCACTATCAGCGCTGTAAGGTAGCTGGCAAAGCCCACACGGGCAGCGACTTGGGCAACAGACACACATGGACAGACGACAGCCATGAGGGCTAGACAGGCAGGCGGTGAGGAAATGCTAGACCGCAGGACGTACTGTTCGGTACGAGGGTGTCGAAGCATCCAAAGAGGGAAACCTTCCACTTGTACGTCGTGAGCCCATTGTCATCCATGCCGCCATCACTCGGTTTCTCCAGGAGGTTCTGGCTCGACATGGCACGTTCTCAAGTAAGATCCGCGTGCCGACGATCCGGATAAAACGACGGTTTCAAATCCAACAAAGTCCGGTTACACTTATGTTCTTGTAGTCCTTTTCCTCCTACCAATGTCAACGAGTTGCTACGTTATCCTAGTCATGTGCACACGATGCCATTCCAGGCTGCTGCCATGCCTACAGCCATTCGCTGTGTGACCATGCGTGGCTGGCTTCACCTCGAAGCGGTGTCAACCGCAACCATAGCGGTAGGTAGCTCGTTGGCAGACGCATGGCGTCGTTGCTGAGGGAAGAGAGAATGCTGCAATCCTTAGAGCGGATGTCCGATGCAAAGTCAACGAGATGTTTGGTGAGTTTCACGCCATGCATTCGACACGGTGGTGCTGACGCCGCGACATTTACGACAAGATGGCGGCTGAATGATGGAAACGCATCGTCATGGAGGGCCCTACCAACCAATCGTGCCAAGGTCCCATCGGTGTGTGAATTTGTTGCCTTGCCGACTGCACGGTCGTTTGTGCAACGAACTTGGTTGACGTCCCTGTCGCCTTGAGCCGAGATGGCGAGATGAAACAAGCCAAACGGTAGGGTGAACCAATCCTGCACGTTCGTCCCAGATACGACGAGTCACAGTCGCCTCCTTTGCGATGAATGCGAAGATGGTCCAGAAGCAGAACAACGTATCGCATTGGGCTGACGATGATTGGAGTAGAACCCACTGTCGTTCCTTCTTTTCACGATGGATTACCATCAGCATGCTGCCACGGACATTCGACATGTCCTTGGATGAAGAGGCTTAGGCTCGTGTATCCCTCGCAAACCATGGTGCCGAGCCAACAATTCATTCGCTCCTTCTGGGGAATGCATGCCTCGCAGCTGGGTCTGTGTGTGGTTTTGCTGAAAAAGTAAACGTGATCGAGCAGGTCACGTTTACTTTTTCAGCAAAAGCACACACAGCACCTTTAAGTTTCACGTGCCACTCCTCGATTTGTTTTTGACTGAACATCCTGCATGCATTGTGCAGGTTTCAACGAGTCTATACCGGGGCAACCTGTCACAGCCATAAAGCAGCGCTTTGGCTCGTATGGTGCTTGAGTGGAATGCACCAGCCGCCGGACACTCCGAAGTTGTAGCGCATGGGCTATTGGGTCGCGCGCTCGACATGGGTTTCAACCGAAGCTACGACCAGGAGTGAATGATTGGCTGAACTGGACCAATGAGATACTCCCTCCGATCCAAAAAGGTTGCGCGACTTTCAGGAGGGTTGACATGATACATCATTAAATTTGTATGCGACTTCAGGCACAGTTTTCGTTCATCCTAGAATTGATTTCTGCGCTCCAATTGGCCTGTTGGAAAGAGCGCGAAACGGACAGCAGTTTAGGGATTTTCAGGGTTGAAATATGATGATTCCAAGTCATGTTATGGAGGTCAAAAGATTTAATACAAATTCCAAGATAAATCCAGCTTTTAAATATACAAACACTCTTCCATGGCGGGAATTCTGACAGCTCATTGTCACAATGACACAGAGCAGGCATAACCTGACACTTATGGAGCGTGAGGCCATCCTGCGTGAAGTCTTGCTCAAGTGCCAAGGCGGCGTGGTTGGCCGATTACCGAGAGGCTTCGGAAACGAACTTGCAACAAAGTATGCGTGCCACGTGTCGTCCGTTCGTCGCATCATAGCGCGAGCAAAGGCTCAGGGCATAGCGTCTGGAAACATGCAAGTGTGTGTAGCTAACCGAAAGAAAGGACGCGTTGGACGAAAGATAAAGCATACAGCGGCCCAGGCGCGACGAATGGCGGTGTTGGTTTTTCGTGAATCGCAAATTTGGGTGGTTCTGAGACACACATTCTGTAACGTTACAACCTCGAATTTCAATATATATCAAAATATAGGGTGAGCGGCGAACATTTTTTCCAGGAGGGATGCAGGAAATTCCAAACTCGCGCAATCTTTTTGGATCGGAGGGAGAAAGTTAATGCAAGAATTGGTCCAATCAGACACGTCTGTATTCATTTTCACAGGTGTTTTCCATTGATATCAAATATTAGAAGTTGCTTGCCGAGGTAATCCCTTGTTAAAGTAGACAAACCAACATTCGGGCAGCCTCGGGAGTATGCCAGTTCTACTGTAGTCACGTCGTTGGGATACGCTTGTGGAATCGAAGCCATAAAGCAACCGTGCCTTTGGATTTTCGTGCACTTCGTACATTGCAACGTATCAATGGCAAAGCTTGCGCTGGTAGCCTCTCTGTTCACATTGTCTGCATATGCTCCCATGTTGAGGCTACTTAGTTAACTGAAAGATCTCTAAACATTCAGAATGTTGGTGGCTTGCACTTACTCGAGGGATTTTCTCGATGGGGGAGGACGGTTGTGCTTACATATCTTCCATGAATATGGAGTCTGATGCGGGTGCCGCCGAACACGACGCGCTGCCGCGACAACCGACGTGGGCGCATCTCTCCACCAAGTCCGATCGCGGTGAGGATGGCAAGGCGACCGATATACCCACCGTGTTGAATCCGTGGACACTCAATGTGGGCAGCATGTACGCCTTCCCAATTTTGGCCCGTCGATCAAATTCCAAGCAGCAAAGCGCCCTCCGCGCCCACCTCCCCACCAAACACGACCGAGCAAACTACACCGGGTCCGGCCTAGGCTTTGTCATGTTGATTCGGTACACTGACAGTCCTGTGGGACCGTACGATGAGCTGCTCCTCGTGCCTGGAGCTTTCACGCCTCCATCACCAGGCAATCCCATCGCCAGAACGAATCACATGAAGGAAACGTTTCTTCAAGCACATGGACTGCTCGCCGCCCGCCGCGTGACCCGCATCTTCGTCTCGACGGAGGCTTCGCTTCGCAACGGTCGACGGAATTGGGGCATCCGCAAGGAGCTGGCCGATTTCACGTGGACGCCACGCCCGACAACGACCTCATCATGGAATTCAATCGTGGACGTCGTTGTCCGATCTCGTCTCGATGGCGAAGTGCTGTGCGACGTCGCGCTCAAAACCGTGCGCACATGGAGCGTTCCCGCTCGACTGAATTGGCTGCAAGGAATATTGCTGCCACCTTTGGAAGAGCGCGAGATCGACGAAGAAGGGGTGCCTACTGCAGAGAATGCATGGATTCAAACTGTGCTGGGAGGGAGCCTGCGCATGCAACCCGCCTCCATACTCACTGACTCCACACCGCCATCATCCACATCGCAGCGACTCGACCGCTTCCCCAATCTCCATGATTTGAGCCTCTGGCCAGGAGTCCATGGCACCGGCACAATCACGTTCACAGCCACGACGACAAGGACGTATTCCTCGCCAGCTCTGGCCACCCATCGCCACGACAAGGATGCATAGGATCGTTGGAGCGGAGACCAACCACTTGGTTCCTTCAGCGATGTGTGACGGATCTGGCATTGGCGTGTTTCGAGAAGTAGTCGCCGTCATAAATTGCGGACTGTTCCTGCATGGTGATGGAATAAAGTCCTATTGCATCGTTCAATGATTTCCAAGGCACGGATGAGGACGTGTGCACGATGCGAGCGAAGTTGGCAGAGAACAGCGCACGTCGTGATCAACGCATTTCGCACGTAAATACGATGTCGAGGGGCCTTCACGCATCCATAAAGAAGCAAGGAAGATCCCGGCGTCACAAACGGTCCAAATCGAAGATCGAGAGGCATCCCGCGGCATTGCTTCAACACCATGCTTTGGTTGAACAATGGGTCCATTGACTGCAGCATAATACCGTGAATACGATGAACGTCGACATTGCGCCACGACAACACGTGACAAAGGCTGGATCGACCTGTCAATCCACGAGTACTTTTACTTCAAACAGTTTGGATGCGGCAGAAGGAGATCCAAGCGCGGCGTTGTCGGCCATTGGCGGTTGCTTCCGCGAGGTAGTCGGCGGGTGCGCAGTGTCTTCGCGTTCCCAGTTATACCGCCCTACGCACGCTCGATGACGCTCGTTGATTGAAACGGCGCATACCACTCGATTTAATCACCCGTCTGTTGTGGTTGTTTTCGTCCACAGACGCAAGAGCCACAAACTCGCTTATGCCGACCAAGGATTGCTCCATGGGGTTTGAGTCTTCTTCCATGTAATTGAATCGACGTTTCGACGAATATCCGTCCTCCAAGTTGCTCTGAAACGAAGGTCGTGCATTTTCTCGCTGGGACGCAGCTTTGGTGTCGCGATATGGCGAAAAGGTCGGGGACACCGATTGATGTCCTCCGGACGTGGGGCTGAGTACGTCAAAGTCTGTCCATGGGGGCCGTCGAGTTGTCGATCCGACGGAAGAAGGGGTTGTCGTGTGTATGGTTGGACGAACAAATGCCTTGGAGGCTTCAAACGCAGCTCGATCGCGTGCCAGCAACTCTACATCAGCCCTGTGCAATACGCTCATGAATCCAGGGTGTTGCCATTTTACCCCGTTCGTGGTCCAGTTTCACACGCTCGAGCATCATCGCCTCTACATTTAAGTGAGTGGATGGGAACCGTTGAATATGATACAACCCAGCTACATCTGCATATCTGTGCAATACAGAGATGCACAAGAAAACGCAATTGCTTCCACACACTTTACTTCTAAGTGGACCCAACATGCAAATCAAATAGCCAAGATCAAGCAGGACACAGCAAGTGCACAAGACAGACACAGTACCTCGCTCGAGCTGCATCTGCTGCCGCTCGACTTGCATTTGCGCGCGCTCGTAGCGCAGTTCGCTAAGCAAGCCCTGTACTTCATGAAGCACATCATGCGAGTTATTCGTTTCATGTCTTGATGATATGCCGCGGGACGACGACGACGACGTTGGTGATGGCACCACTCGTGACGAAAACGGGACAGGCGGGGGGGACACTCCAACAGTTGGGGATGTGTAGATGCTCAAACCATTCGTGCTTCCGCCAGACGAAACATATCGCTGCTGCTGCTGTTGTTGTTGCTTGGGAGGGTTCGGCAGCGATGCGACGTGACCAAGTTTTTGCTGCGCGCGAAGATGTTGTTGCCTCTGCTGCTGGCGTTCTACCCCAACTATCAACCCAAGATCACAAAGCAGCTCGTCATACCAAGTTGAGCTTGCGCTTCCTCAGCGATACGCTTTTCCTCTTCTTCCTTGGCTTTTCTCCTTGCCTTTTCCTGAATTTGCTCGTCGAGCAGCTACTTGCTGGTCAGTAACGTCAGGCATGCCCCATGCATTTACCTGCCGCCATCGCTGTTTCTCCTGTTGTCGTTGTTGATGCAGTACCTTTTCATCTGGTTCGTGCAACTGGAAGCGGCGCATAGACAGGATATCGGCCGTGCTTGTGGATGGACGTGACAGTATGGTGTTGGCAGATGACCGACGGGACGGTGATGTCGACCTCGTCAGTACATCATCCTCTCCTTCCCGTGACCTTCGCGTGGATCGAGGATCCTCCTCTAGCGACGAGGACCACCCTGCCGGCCACGACGACGATCCTTCACCTGCCATGCTGCCGCTGCTCCCGACGCGACGCGGGGAATTCGAAATCTGGCGCTTTTCATACAGCTATCCGGATAGTTATCCGGGTGTGCGTAAAATTTGCCAAACTCGCATGTTCCCATTTCCTTGCTCAGGCACGTGCCAGCGTGGCGCTCGCTCCTCACGCCCGGCAGCACGACCACACGGCGCCATGGCACAGCACTACGAGAGTGATCGAATCACGTGGGATTCGCAATAGAAGGCTTCGAGAGACACGTTTACATTTAACAACAGGGTGGGAAAATGACGTCCACGGATGCGTTTGTTCTCGTACAAGCCACAGCTGCATGGTTCACCTCGACAGGGAGAATGCCGTAACTGTTTGGCCATGTCAACGCCAACAAACTGGACGACTGCTGCCCTCGCGGCTATGTAGCGCTCAAGCCTGTGAGATGAAACATGGCGCTGGCCATCATGCAAGCACCGGTAATTTGCTGGCAAAAGCGCACGGCAAAAAATGTGCGAAAAATAAACATGAAAAGAATGGCGGGTACCCGGATAAGTAGGGATTATCCGGATGAACAGTGGACATTCGCACACTGTGGAAGATGCAGTGTCCCGCGCAAGTGTATCCAGCCAACTCGCGGCTGTTTGTCGTCTGCGGCCGCGTCGTCGGCAACGAGGAGCTGGAGAAGCTCTTCTCTCCGTTCGGGAACGTTGTAAATGTGCGCATTGCGCTAGATCGTTCCAACAAGTCGCGGGTACGGCCCGGTGGGAACAGCTCGGTCCACCTGAACTTGAAGGAATGAGACACAATGTTGACGGGGGGTTTTCCACAGGGATTTGCGTTTGTGCAGTTTGCCGAGGCGACAGAAGCAGCTACCGCCATCGAAAAGTTACATGGAGCGTTGGTGTATGGGCATACGTTCAAAGTGAGCCTCGCCCATGCATCCTCCCCGAAAGGAAAGAAAAAGGACACTGCAGCATTACTTCCGTCGGGAAAACGCGCGCGTGACGATCGTGGAGATAAGACAGCGCATGCTAGTAAACGTACCGGGGCAGCAAAATCGTCGCAAGAAACAACAACTCAACAGACCTCAGGGTTCCACGTGGTGCAATCGGTTGTGTCGGACATGGTGCAACAAATTGTGGATTTGACGGCAGCCACATCGTTAAAATCATCTCCCAGCACCACATCTCTCAAACGAAAAGACAGCGATGCCGACCTGTGTGTCGATGGTTCCACACATACTTTCAACAAGCGGCAAACGTCTTCGGCGAAGCCGTCGTCGATCATGTCACACCACCAGCCTATGCAAGAACACCAGCGTCCTCGCATCGCGTCTGAATTTGAGCCCCGTAAGATGCCCAAGCGACCCCCGCCACCATCGATGATCCGGTCTTGTCAGCCACCGCCACCACCTCCTTGTGGTGGCACGCGCCTTTTTGTCACAAGCCTGTATGAGGTATGATCCAGTGGTTGGGTTTTTGTGCGGCGACGTCACATTGACGGCTTGTCTCGTAGTATACACATCAGGAGCTCCACGCAATGTTTCACGTGTACGGCGACTTCAGTCATGTGCAAATGGTGCATTGCCAGGGCAAACTCCACACCATGGCGTACGTGCAATACACAACGGTATTGCTTGGCACATTCCAAAAGAAACTTCAATACTCATCTGGAACGATCGTATAGGCATCGACAGCGCAATACGTGGTCGAGTCCTTTTCAAGCGATCGATCGTTGTTGAGCGTGTGTTTTGCCGATGAAACCAAACAAACGTCGAGGTAGGTTTGCAAATTTCGAGCGCCAATGCTCGCATTTCATCCTCCATGAGCCCTGTCGCATGCTGACTTTTTACCTTTGTAGAATCATGCTCAACTGGCTGGAAGTTGGGTTTGCCATGGCGACCAGTACGTTGACAACGATTGTGTCGCAATGCGACGGCATGGAATTCGTCGACATCATTCCCATCGCCCCTGTTCCCACAGGAAGCGTCTCGGTCACAACGTCGGTATGGCATTCTTCTTCAGGCTTTTCCGAATTGGAAAAACGAGATGGCGTGTGCTTGCCCATATTCTTGTCAAGGTGGTGAGGTCCTGACCGTCCATGGTGTAGGGCAGATGCAACGTCAAATTTACCAACGAAGTGTTGGCACGTGCGGCATTTGGGTACTTACGAACGCTGCCGTCGATTGTGTCGCTTCAGTTGATACCGGACCCGACCAGCTCGTACGATGTGGTATGACCATTACAACGCCCAGCTGCTCTGCCATTTGATCTGCATCCGAATGTGGCTTTGGCGCTTCTTTGCGATCGCGCCCCTCAACGCCGTTTTGACAGGACATACGAGCGGTTGAAAGTCAATTCGCCCACCTCATGTCGACACCATACTACCCGTACGATATTCTATCAACGTTCATGACGATATGCATGCTGACCGCCGTTGCCTCTTTTGTCATGTGCACGCTGTGGAGTCATGTTGAATGTGTAGGACACCTCCGATGCCTGTGCAAGCACCCGCTGTTGCTTCCAGCGACGACGAGCTGTTGTGGCTTCATGTGGCAAGTCCGGCGCCATGCACGTGGTCAGGCATCCAAGTACGTTCATCTGGCACGGCGTCAGTAGGCGATTGCTGTCATGTAGAGCGTCGTGACGCCAGTGCCCGTGTTGGATTTGATCGTTGATGGTGGCGACGGGTCGGATGACGACGGGGCGCGAAAAGGCCGCACGAGTAGATCCAGTACCGACAAGACGATGACCCACGATGGCGATGTTGGTGACGATGCCCCTGGTGACGACGATGTGTCGACGCGGACAGGAACGTCCAGTCAGCCCACCAAACTGTGCGAAGCTTGGGTTCAATTTGCATCGCCCAAGCATGCGCTCATGGCGATGAACACGCTGCTGCGTCAAGACAGCATAGCCCAAGTGTCTGTGGCACAGCTTCCTCCGCCGATCGCGTTGCGCCGGCATGCAAAAAAGGCCAAGCGATGGATGTGATGCCGCCACGATCGAGTCCACCGAGAGCTTGGTTGTATGGCGGTTGCAATATATATATATATTTCAACCCTGGGGATTTGTAGGAAAAAATAAATTAATGCTGGCTGGATAGGTCCGGTTACGTTTCCGGATATCGTGCTTGAAGTGGGGTCTCCAGCATGAAGCGCACGACGTCGTCGAGAGCGGCATCGAGGTCGTCTTCGTCGACGGTCGCGTACGAATGATGGAGCCCCGTCATGGATGGAAGTTCGTCTGTTGCAAGTGCAGAGCGTTTGGTCGCAGCTCCAATTACTTGCCAGTCCTTGGTCATCTTTGTCACGTCATCCAACGCCTCCGCGCTAGAATCGGTAAGCCCACGTCGTGGTCTACATCCATCGACGTACTCTAAAACCGTGTGTCGCATCGACCGCGTTGAGCTGAGAAACGTAAACGTTCCATCCGGCGCTGCATTCCGTTGTCGATCATGGCGCTGGTGCTCTGCATAGGACGCTCGACGCACAACAGGCGGACTTGTATCCCCGGGCGACACGTCCTTCGCGCCACGGGGCATTTCCTGGATGTTTTCTTCGACCAGTGTGTCGGCGCATGCCAGACACAGCGTGACTGTCCCGTCCAAAGAGTCGCCGGTCCTCCATTCTTGGCTACACGGTTTGCACACGGCCTAGACGGCCCATGATCAATTGTTCGTGTGATTTCCAACGCACCTGTCGGCAAACACGGCATGCTCCATGGCGTGGCGCAAAGAAGCCGAACCTGGCGTCGCACAAACCGCAAATTGTTCTCTGCTTGGCGTCAGACAGCGTGGACCTTGGCCGCCGCCGCTCCAACGCAAGCATTCGATGCACAATCAAGTGTTCCTCGAGGTGCAACACCTGGGCGACATGTGCCTTCATCAATTTCGCCTGTACGACTTTCGGCATGCGCAACGAAGGCGCCGACGCCACCAGGACATGATAGCAGTCCAACATCCCTTCCTCATGCGCTTCCACGAAAACGTGGCCCGACTACATGTATCTTTCGTCAATCGACCATCATGATGCATTCGACCCACGGAAACGGCATAAAAGACTCGATATTGATGGAAAAAAGAACGAATAAAAGAAGAAAAGACAAAAAAAGAACAGTTCGGCGCCCACGTACGCGGTAGACGTGCACTCGACGAATCCGGTGCGTTGACCACAAGTCGCCGCACCCAGGGACGTCGATGGAGTGAATCGCGCGAATCCAGCCTCGTCTTTGCCGCCCGGATGCTTCCTCGCAAAAGAGAAACTCGTCTTGGCAGTCTAGGAACACGGCATCTCGCGGCGCAAAGCCCAATGGCGCACCCCATACGGCCCATTCCACGCTGATGCTGTGGTCGACCTTTCCACCACGACGTTGTGATGCAGTCGGTCGATCCACAAGTCGATAGAGCGTTTGGCGGTCGAGCACAGCGTCACCAAGAACACGGGCATACGCCTTGGCTTGGGATGGCGTCGTTCCACTCGAATCGAAGAACGCCGCGATTTCGGACAGCGTTGCACGCAGCTGGGTATACGCGCTCACGCCTTCAAGGGCTGGGTTGGTTGCATCAGCTCCCTTGCGCAGCTACGTCCCACACGTCATGATGCGCGAGCTCCATGACGGCAACGTTACGATGGTACGTACTCTTGCCCGTCGATGTGTTCGCGGGTTTGTAACGACGCTGTCAATCGGCCGTGCGTCCATCGTCATGGCATTCCGCACTGTCTCTTGGCATGCTTTCTGTGCCAAAGTAATCCAGCTTGCCTTTTGTTCGGGGGTAAGCGGGGGCGGACGAAAACAAGGCGGCGCCGCCGCCATCGTACCGGTCATGGATGTTGTCGGAGAAATTTGCCTGCAGCACAGTTCATTCGTTTCAACACATTTTGCAGTAACATTGGCACACTCGCACAAAAAAGGCGAAAAAAACACCAAAAGATGCCCAATTTTGATTGAAAAAGCTCCCCGTCCGGGAATTGAACCCGGGTCACCCGCGTGACAGGCAGGTATACTCACCACTATACTAACGAGGACGCTGATCTTTCAGCGATAAAATATCTTAAAACTGTCCAAAATATCGATAGCAAAATGACATTAGATTTTTTGATTTTTTGGTAAATTGACTAGAATTGGATAGTACTCCCGTTGCTGAATTCCCTTTTTCTATGGAACGAGCGGCTAGTAGATTGTCCAAAAAGTAGTAGTACTAATCTCCGCGCCTCCTTGATGCGAGCACGCCGGCCGCTGAGACCGCGGGGGAGGGCAAACTCATGCCGCTGCAGCGCAATGCGATGGTGACTGCGGGAAAACTTTATGCTTGGTCATGGACGTGCAAGTTGTTGGCTGGACCGTTGTGTGGGTGGCGCTCTTTCGCGTTGTTCGAATCGCCAACGGTGGCCGGTGAGCTAAAAATACTGGAGGCCAACAAAGATCGAGCGACCGTCGTGCACCCTCGGCCTTGAGGGCACAGCTGGATTCACCGCCGATTTCAAACACGATGATGCAACCTGCTGCTGAAGACCGTGCTGCACCCGGCAGTGCCATCCCTCCCTCGACGACGACAACCCCACCGGCGACTGGCCAAGGGAAGATTCGCATCGTGCCCATGCGAACCGTGCACGACAGTGCCGACAACTACCCTGAGCTCGACACCGGGTCGGATGGCGTTGACCACAACGGGATCATGGTCGGGCAGTGGAAGCAGCCCCTCTTCGGTTGCATCGGGTCGTGCATCCCCAACAGTACGATTCTCTTGACGGCGGAAGGAGAGGAGCTCACGGTTGGCGTGACTTGTAGCGTGCGCCGCCGCCACGTGCCCGTGCGTATCCGCCGCGCAGATCGCCCATCGCATGGGCGTCGCGCGGTTCGTTCCGGTGCTGTTGATCTTTGGCGTGTTGTACAGCGTGTGCGTCATCTGCGTCGCTGCGTCGACTGCAGGCGGCCTAGCTGTGGCCGCGATCGCAGGCATTGGCATGTGGATGTACCTGTATCGACTGCGCACGACGATTCGCGTCGCATTTCAAATTCCAGGCTCGGTACCTCGACATATGCGCCGCCAGGAGCGTGGCTGAACGGGAGTCGTTGGTTAGATGCTCGAGGATCTGTGCGCCACCATGTGCTGCACCGTGTGCAGCTTGTCTCAAATGGGCGCCCATATCGAGTCGTACGATGCCAAGAACGCGTGCACCCTTCGCCCCAAGTCCGTCCTGCCCGGCTACAATGTCTAGCCGGACGTGTGCCGCTAAAGATCTTCATAAATGTACAACGGTGTGCAACTCGCACGCTGGGTAGTGGCTCGAGAGCGAGAGCATGGCCGATCGGGGGTCGGCGGCATGGCAAGAACGATTTGGTGGAGCGGCATCCGAAATTCGAGAATACAAAATGGGCTGCGCCTGGAAGCAGCGAGACGTGGCAAGAGAAGCACAGCACGACAGACGGAGGACGTGGCGCGGTACCGCCGTCCAGGCGCCGACGATCTGTGCACGCAGACGCCGGCATGGCACAACTGCATTGGATCGGCTACACCATGCTTTGAGTCGCGACGGTGCTCGTCCATCTCCATGGGGGTCGCTTCCGGCGATGGCGACAAGGCGTGGCGTTCGCTGCGCACTCGCCGCCCCACGCGCTTGGTCGAGCCCGCACGCCCTCGTCGTCCGTATCCATCTATGGCATCCCGATGTCGGAATATTCACGTCAACGGCGCGTCCATCGCGTGTGTGGTCGATTCAACGACTCGCACAAACGCATTCGCGCCCGACCGCCATGGCGCCGCCGTACGCACCCACTTCCGATGGCGAGCCGATCGTGCGAGGGCAGTGGAAGGCGGGCCTGTGTCACTGCTGCGACCACCCGATCCCGAATGGCTTGATGTGCTGGTGCTGTCCATGCGTGGCATTGTCGCAAATCGTCGCGCGCGTCGGTCTGTTTGACTACGTGCTGACGCTGTTGGTGCTGTACGTGCTGTCGTTTTCCGTGGTCGGGACGGTGATCGTTGCCGGTTTGGTGGTGTACCTCCGCACGCACATTCGTCGGTGGTTTGGCATCCCTGGCTCGATATGGGGGGACGTGTGCATTGGGTGCTGCTGCTGCTGTTGCGCGGTTGCGCAAATGGCGACCCACGTCGATGCTTACACGCCGGGCAAGTGCTCGTTTGAGTCGAAGCACGTCTTGCCTGGCTACGACACCAACTTTGAGCACGTGCAGCACCCCACCACGTCTTCGTACGACGCGCCACCCCCCGCGCACGCAACATATTCAGAACACGTCTGACGACGGGGGACTAAAGAGTAAGAGTGTGTTTCGTTGGCTCTTTTCCGACGACTTGCGCGACTGCTGTGAGTTGTTTGTGGCATGCATGCCCTAGGACTGCAATGGCCAGCGACGGCTGGCATGCACGACGCCGAGTGTGGTGGAGCGCCCAGTGCAGGCGTTGGGGGACGACCATCGCTGAGGTCGAAGTGAGCAGGGGGCTGTTTCCCATTGAACCCTCGTCTCCCCCCCCTGGCCCGCTTTCATCGAACGTAGGTAGAAAGAGACCATCCACTGGATGGCCACCACCTCAAGACCAGAGGAGGGCCGTACTGGAAGAAGTTCGTCCTACCGCAGTCAGCCACGTGCACCTGGCTGCTTTGACGTGGCGAGCACTGGTCACAAGGTCGCGATGGGGTGCACGATCGAAAACATGACGAACTGGTCGCTGCTGCCTGCGCCTCGAACGCGTCGTCGTTTTGGTCAGGTAGGGTCGGCGGCGCAACCATGGCTTTGCCGCTCCCATGGATCACCAGCATCGCCATACTCCACCCATTGCCCATCCTTGCATCCGTCGTGTGATGGCCAGCCTCGCAGGACCTGTGGCGATTCGTTGGCCATCTCATCTCGACCAACGTGCGCGGCCTCCCCCGGCGATGCGCCAGGACGTGGCCAAGTGCTGGTGGGATGTCTGCCCCAGGGTGCGAAAGGCATCGTGTTGTGCTTTGGGCGCGAGTCGGTATCACAGTTCACGCGATACAGTGGCGCGACGGAGCCTCGCCACGTCAGTTGAATCGTTCCGACAGCGCGGGCGACGATCGGGGCGTGTCGATGCGAGCACTCCCCTCGCTGCCTCGGCCCCCATCCAAACCCTTTGCCGCGTTGACAGCCCTGCCGGCGCTGGCTCAGAATAGACCATCGTCGGGGGGCGCCATTTAGATTCGCCTGTAGTCATTGGCGCAGCGACCAACGCATGCGTGTATTTATAGCCCGTGGCCTCGTCGCCTCGTTGCCCAGCGCTGGGCATTTGCACACTTGCCACCGCATTCCCACCACCATGTCGACCCAAGAGCAACCGACGGCTGTGACGAGTGTGCCGGACGTCAAGGTCGTAGTCGTTGACGACGGCCAGGCCAACACTGTTCTCGTCACGGGGCAGTGGAAGTCGGGTCTGTGTGGGTGTTGCGCCAGCATCATGCCCAACTGCCTCTGTGCGTGGTGCTGCCCTTGTGTCAGCCTAGCCCAGACGGTCGCCCGCCTCGGCGTCGGCGACTTCATGATCACGGTCCTCGCGGGGTGTTTGCTCCTGTTGACGGGGGTGGGGGGGATCGTGTTTATCGTGTACGTGTTTTACCTCCGCTTCAAACTTCGCACGGCGCTGAAGATCCCAGGGTCGGCCGTCGGCGACTGCTGTGCGGCGTTGTGCTGCAACTGCTGCGTCCTCGCCCAGCTCGCCACGCACACGGAATCGTACACCCCCGGTCGGTGCTCGTTCAGCCCCAAAGACACCTTGCCTGGCTACAGCGACTTGTACTCGCGCGCCACCGCCCCGGTGCAGCAAGCGACTGCCGTTGGCGTCCCCACCAAGACCGTGTGAGCCGTCCACGTCGGCGGCGTCAAGGTCATTCAAAAGGGGAGACCTCTCCCTAGACCCTAGCTTTTAATTCATGCATCCAAACCGTTGCCACGTTTTCAATCGACGCCCGCAGCACAAGACGAAACACAGAATAAATGTTACGCGGTGTGAGCTGCTCCCTTGTACGCGACGGGGAGTTACGGGGTACGGCCATGTTCATCGATCGCGATCAATCCATTGGGTCGAGGGAGGGCGAGCAAGGTGGACGAGGGGGGCGGGCAGTCCGACGTCGCCCCGCTGTCGGTGAGGTGGCCGCTCCACACGTTGCGAGTCGTCACGTCGGACGAAATCGACGACGTCGTCGTGAAATCCTCGACAGCATACCGCCAAAGGGGCGGTTGTTGGTCCCCGAGGCTGTCGTCACCCAGATCGTGCGACGGCACGCCCCAAATGTTGCTCGTGCCTTCAACCCCTGATACTTGACGAGACTGGATGGACCAGATATTTGTGCTTGCTGTTGACGGAGGCAAGGCACGACCGCCGCCGCCACTGTCGGACCAAATGTTGTCCATCGAAGTCGCTGGGTACTGCTGCAGCTCGTTTGCAATGAACTCCGTTGTGCGCATCGTGGGAGGAGCTGGTCGATGATGCCACACGGGGTTTGGGCCTTGGTGGAGGGCATCACTACTCTGACTGCTGTATCTACACAGGGCAGGTCGTCAACGTGTTGGCACGAACACAAGCCAGATGAACGCACACTGCATGCGCCAACATCAACGGTGACAATGGAAAACGTTCAGGTCGTACTGGAAGAGAGTGTTCTCGCTGTCGAGGACAGTCGGCTGTGAATTGTTGTCGACGGTCGTCGTGCCATCCCGGAGCTCGGCGCGTTCTGGACGCAGCGGCATCTCAACGCGATGGGATGTGCAGCATCCCATCGTGGGCAACGAACAATAGAGTGCACGGTGGCGACCCATCGACTTTCCGTCGCTGCGTCATGTGTGCTCGGATGAGATCGGCGGCAGAGATGATGCGGGCAGCTGCTGCATGTTACAAGCGCGTTGTCGGTTACGCCAGACTACGCGCAACTGCATCTGAAACTGTCAATCAAACGAGCGCCGGTTTCGCCGGAAACCGCTTCTGAAACGGTCAATCCGCGCCACCGACCGCGCGATGCGTCCGACACTCGGCGAGCAAAGCCTCTGGGATGGCGGGTGGTGCGGGGGATGTCCAGTCTCTCAGTGCAAGGGCGGTTGTGTCTCCGTGGGAATTTGGACGTCCACGTCACTGCGCAAGGGCCATCGACAAAATTGGGGTCGAGCAAGGCCGTCCGTCGTACATCGAAACACGGTAGTGCCTCGGTGTTATCCAAGTCGAGACGTATTTGTGCGCCAGCATGCATGTCTTGATTCTCTCGCCCGATTCCGTTTGGAGAACTCGACCCGTACTTGGTTGCCCTGCACAGAGCAATCGTCTGTGGAGAGGATGCTGCATCGTACCGAATCGCACATGACATGCTGCTCTGGCGCCCCGCATGACAGTCGTCGTAAGTCCCCAGTTTAGCCCGACCGACCACGAACGCGAGTGTCGCACCTCGATCGTCTCCGCGGCAAATGGCGAAGACGATTCCCAAGATGACGGCTCGATGCAACATCCCTCCGGGTGAGCAAGCTCACGCGTCGAATGGTCACGGCCAGTTGCGTCGTACCTGACGACGTAGCAGTCGCCCCCCTCGTTGCGACCTTGTTTGGTAGGCATTTACGTAGGGCTACGACCCCCCTCGACTACACGCAATATCACCCCCGACGAACAGCGCAGGTCAGTGCACGGGGGCTTCTGAATTCGACGTACTGCAAAAGTAGGGGCTGCGCCACCAGAGTTACGAGACCACTACGAGATGCGTCCAGTCGTAAATCGTTGTTGTGCGGGAGGGGGGGTCGGTGTCGAGCTTGCAGCATCCCCCCCCCCCGAGCAAACGAGGGAAAAAAATGGTGGTGTCGCCCCCTGTGATGGCGAGCTCGCCAATGCGCCTCATGATGGCGCGACCGAACGACTTCTACGACTCACTCGCGTATTCTTCAGGGGCAACGCAGACGTTGAAAGGAATGGTCGATGCCCATCTCGAACTCGGACAAGAGTTTTGTGCGTTGCATGCTACCATGCGCTCGAGGGGGAGGGGGCGCGCTCCAGTGGGAGGAGCAGCATCTCGCCTTCCTTCTCCATGGCATCGACGACGTATCCAAGCGGCGCGTCGGCGGCGCACCAACCCACCGGAAATGTTGAACGTCAACTTGCTATGCCGCTGGAAAGTGCACGTTTCTCGTGGGTGGAGATGGACATGACGAACGGACGACGACACCATGAAAGAGAGCAGGGTGGTTTTCTTTTTTTAGCCAATCCAATCGATGGATCATGCATAACACAATCGGATTGGCTTAAAAGATAAAAATATCCAGCCCAGTCTTCCGTGCGCGTATGGAAAAAACACGCATGGATTGGCTATATATTCCACCAATCAAATTCATTCCTACCAAGTGGACCACCAGCCCCGCAGTCAACCTGGCGATTCCTGCGTCGGGGGCGATGCATGCCGCGGCCGCCGTGCGCACGTGCACTGGGCTTCATGGCGTTGACCATCGTCGCCCCCGCTTCCTAGACCACATGATCGACGCGTCGACCCGATTCCGTCCATCGCGATACATTCCAACCAAACGACCATGTCCCCCCGCCTCCGGCACCTTCAACAAAGCCCATGCCGACGTCATGACAGTTGCCAACGCAACGGCAGCTGCGACAGGTCGGGTGGCCGAGCGGTGGAGGGCGAAATGCGTTGTGGGGGCGTGGTGGGATGGCGAGTATTTCGCGCGGGGTGGCTCTGCCACACGTGCTGGTGGGGGCGTCGTGCTGGGGCTGCACCCATCGCAGCAGCCCCAGCGCTGGTTTTTTCGTAGGCATTGTCCCTTTGACCTCCGCTTGCGTGGCCCACAAGCAATGGCGGCCAGCTTGTCGTGCACCGCGACGTACCGCTTCGAGACGTGCCCCATGCAGCTTGATGGCGCAGCTTGGCACACGTCAAACCGCGCCACACTCGTCCTGTTTTGCGCGGGTGGTGCGCGCGTCGGGGGGGGGGTGGTTTTCACCTCCCATGCATCCCCGCGCAGGACGGCGCCAGAGGGGGCATTGTGTCACAGGGCGGCGTCTTCAAGACGTCGCAACCAAACGTCGACGCGAGCTCGACGACGCTGTTTTTCCCACGTCCACAAGCTGCAGCTGGCGCCAGGATGAGAATGTCTGGATCGACGAAACACACAATCTTGTGGCGGCGTCTGTCGAGGCGACATGGAGCCCCACAGAAGCGCGGCGCGGAGGTAAAGCCGGCGGCAGCTCCCACCGGCGAGCTCGAGGCGTACCATCTGGTTCAGCAGCAGCCGGGCAAGTTCAAGAATTGGACCGCCGTCGACGACATCTTGTGAGGGAAAGTGGCACGAATCGGCGGCGGTCGAGGCGACCGACTTGCCTGGCATTTTCGAATTCACCGCCTTGGACCGCCGCCATGGGCTGCACGCACTCCACGACCCCGGCTGCGACCACCGAGCCTGAACCTGTCGTTGCGGCCCAAACTCCCGTCCCCGTGGCCGCGGCTGAAACCAACGACGCCACGGCGGCGCCGTTGGATGCCGACGCGCCGCCGCCAGCCGACGTCGACGCTGTTTCGATTGTTGGCCACAGCGTCGATGCCAAAGGCGTCGTCCATTACCACATCCAAACGGTGGCCATCGATGGCCACGACCCTGCCATCGTGAAGAAGCGCTTCAACGACTTCAAGGTATTCCATCACGGGTCGTCGACTCCGTTGCCGGCCTTGCCGAGCGCAGGTCTCTTTACGGCCTTCCAGCGCACCCAGGAAGCGTTGATTCGCACGCGCAGCGCTCGCTTCCAAGAAATCCTCCGCGCCGCGCCGCGCGACCATGTCACGGCGTTCCTCGTCGTAGTTGCCGACGACGAGGACTCGACGCCAGAACGGGCCACGACCGATGCTGAGCCTGCCGCCGCCACCGAGCCCGCTGCGCAAGCCATCGAAGACCCCGCTGTCGACGCCACTGCTGCAGCCGACGACTCGACGGAAGTATCGCCCGATGTGCAGCCCGCAGTCGTCGAGCCTGCCGCTGCGGACGTGGCCGAGCAAGCGCCTGCCGCCGCAGACGAGGCAGCGACTGCCGCGGCTGTCGAACGCAAGGTCAGCGAAGGGAGTGCCAAGGCCGCCGCCGCCGTTGTTGTCGACGAAAAAGTCCATGCACCTGCTCCCGTCGTCGCCTAAGCCGAGCGACTGCCTCCATATTTACTGCATGTCCGTTTATTTTGGAGTTTTGAATACACACCTCCCGAATTTGCATCGAGATCTGCGCTTCCATGCCGCCGTTGAGTGGCTCACCACCGTGCTAACGGAGCTTCCAGTGTACGGGCTATACGAGGCCTGGACAGCGATCGCGTCGTCTGCCAAGTTGCGGCGCACGTTGTGTTTCGACAAGGAGCAGGACGAATGACGCTCGAATCGACCCACCGCCCCAGCGCGTCGATTTCGCCATGGCCGGCTCGAGCCAGCAGGCAACCAGTTCATCCCGCCCACAACTCGACGGCGAACGGGGCCGACCAGCGTACACAAAATCGCTCGTCGCACGCAGCAACCTGGTGGCAATCGCCGGCGATGTGTTGGAAGTAGCTGGGGAACGACAACGGGCGACACAGTCATGGTTCGAGCCGCCACTAGCAACCTCTGCGACCCGGCGCGCAAGCCGTGGCTGGTCCACGTGGTGGGTTGCGGTTCGTTTGGAATGATGCATCGAGTGTCTCTCTGCGTTGTCGTCGATGCTACCCCTGGTATTTTTTAAACTCTTTTTTCTACATGTAAAATTGAAAGCCGTAGCCAAACTTGAGGTCGTCGTTCGCGGGAGTGCCTTCCGCGGACAGGAGCAGCATGAGCTGCGGCAACACCTTGCACTCCAACGCGGTCGCGAGCTTGAATGTCTGGTCCAAGCTGCTCACAAACCGCGTCTGTCGGAGGTCGACTTCAACGCCAAACGACGACTGCGACTCGCCCGACGCGTGGTTGTACACAAGTTCCGTCGCGAGGCGGACGCGATCCGACACCTTTCGGAGGTAGTGCAGCTGGTACGTGCCCTGGCTGCCGTACGTGCCGATGCCGCTCCACTTGCCACTCGGGTCGCTGTACTTGGCCACATACGACGCAATCGTCTTGCGGTGCTTGCCGTAATAGTACCCTTCGCCGCCAATCGCAACGTCGCGGGTGACGCTCTGCAGGTAGCTCACGCCCAGCAGCAGGCCGTTGGCCACCTTGACGTTGGCAGTAAAGTCCTTGCCAGTGTAGTCCAAGTCCACCATCGCTTGCGACGCATGCGCTTCGTGCTTGAGTTGTGCTTGCGCGCGCATCTTGAGTGCGTCGCCGAGCTTCGTGTGCCACCGCGCGTCGACGGAACCGTCGTGCGAGACGTTCCCGCGGAGGAGCATGGGGTCCGATCCGTCGCCCAGGACACAAGTCGCGCCGAATTGGTACACGCCACCTATCACGCACGAACGGGCATGAGACGACCGTGCAGCTGCCCGTGGACAACGTACCTGGAATCATGGGGTTGCCGAGGAGAAGCGCATGGTTCACGGCAAAGCGCTGGCCCAAGCCGCGCTGCAAGTCGAAGCGAAAGCCTTCAAACGTACCAGGCATCAAGACCGACTTGACTTCGCCGAGAATGTTCTCGTACAACCCAGGGTTCGGGAGCTCCTTGCGCGCTTTCTCGATGGCTTCCACGGCTTCCACCAACGAGTTGGACGAGAGATCTTCCGGGTTCACATCTGGCAGCGGGACAGATGCCGCCGCCGACGACGTCGCGAGGACTTGGTACTTGCGCAGTGCCGACAGGACTCCCATGCCCGCCGATCAACGTGTGCAGAATGGACACACACACCAGTCGTGGCGATCGCCGGCGATTGGCTCCGATGTCGACATTTTGCGTTTTATTCAAATGCACCAAATATAAAGGAATGCAGGTGCTAGAGTGATCGACGTTTGTTGCATTGTCCCATGCACGAAATCGGTTTTAACAGGTATGTATTTGGACAGTTTAACGCACCCTCTTTACCCACCCGTTGCGGGCACGGGATGTATTTAAAACTCGTCCCACCCACATTGTCGAGTTTAAAATCATTCTTTTACACCTGACGACGTGTTCTAAAATGCACGACGCGTTCTAAAACCCCCCCGCGACGGTCTTTAAACGGAGCGCCGCCGTCGGCGAAACCCAGCGGCATCCCGCATCCACCTTCTTTCCTAAAGGCATGCCGTCGAAGCACCAGGCTGGACGACGCGAAAGCACCGACACGGCACCCATCATCGGCACACCATTCGCATCCATCAAGCCCACGCATCGCACGCAATACACAGCGAGAAGAATACGCGGTGCCGCGTGTGCATGATGCCAGATCTCAACATGGCACGCACGTTTGCATGGCTGGGGAGGTCCTGTCGTGGATGTCCCCACAGCGCGACCACATCTGCACCATATCTCGCCCAACAGCGGACGCTCGCGACGTCAGCGAGCTGCTGCTGCATGGGGTGGCTTCGAGTCCATGCCGCGGCGTTCGCCCGCCGCATGTGCCGGTGGACGGTTTCACCATAGCGTAACCGATTCGGCAAACCGACCAGCGCTGCCATGCCCGTGACGTCGGCGGTCGTGGAGGTCCATGGCGACGTGTACATAAAGTTCGCGCCGCACGGGATAGCCGCGCGCCGGTCGTGCAAAGCTTGCGCGAGCTACTCGCCGACGTGTGCCAAGTGCAGGCAGCGGCGGCGCCGACACAAGCAACAAGCCGCGGCGCGCCGCGCGTCGATCTGGGACACTGCGTCGTTGAATCGATCGTGGGACATCCCGGATGAAATCAAACGCCAGCTGCCTCTCGTGTCGACGGGTGCCGTTTCGATCGTGCGTACCCATGGGGCTCAATCGTTGCTGGCGGCATGTAGAGAAAAAGGCTGACGGCGCGATCGACACGTTTATGCACTGGTCACGGTTGGTGCTGCCGCCGCCACCGTCGACCACTGCCCAGTACGCGACCCGGCGGGCCCAGGACACGGCGGCGCCGACCGCAACTCAAAGTAAGCTTTCGCCACGACGAGCGGCGGCGGGTCCAACATTGGGTAGGCGCGGAAAACGCGCCCGCGTTGTCTTGCGCGCAGCGCAACCAGTACTTTGGCGCGACCGGCCTCGCGTCGACGAAAGCAATCTATTCCAAACTGGCGTCCCAACGGGTATGCGCGCGCGGTTGTCGCGCGGTGCGCTCATGCCCGCGGTAGTACCTGCAGCAACGCGACGGAACCGACGGGTTGGTGGCCAAGTTCAAAGCGATGCTGGCGAGCACACACAGCGCGCCGTCCCCAGACGATGCGACCGGTGCGCGCCACATTTTCGCCGCTGCTGGTCGACCCACGCGCTCGTTGTAGTCGAAGCGTTCACCGCGCGCCACAAATTCGTGTCGCTGTGTCTCGACCACGAGCTCCCGCCGTGCCTGCGGCTCATCATTCGCAGCAAGGTGCGCGCGGTCGACACCGCGTTTGCCGACGACAAGCCATGGTAGGTATCGCCCGACATCAACGTGTCGCACATGAGCATGGGCGACGAGCTCGTGCAAGGTACGCGCGCGCGCTCGCTCGCTCGCAACGACGTCATCGCGCGTCGATCTAGTGTTTTGCGAGTGCCTCGTCGAGCTGCCGATGGTGCATTCGCTAAACTTGCGCAACAATCGGCTCACGGATGCAGGGATCGCGGCCGTTGTTCGGGTACGTAGACGACGACGTCGTCGTGCGGTGGTTGTCTCGATGGCGCGCAAAAACTCACGTCGCGCGCAGGCCGTGATGAACAAGCCCGACCTGTGCACGTTGGACTTGTCGGAAAACAAAGTGGATGGCGATGGCGCCGCCGCGCTGGCCGCGTACATGGCGACGGCAACGTGTGGTTTGTCGACGTTGCTCTTGAGCCATTGCGACCTTGGTACGATCGGCGGCGGCGGCGTGATTGAAGCCACCCACACACACGTAGACGATGGCGAAGCGCGCGCGTTTGCCAACGCGATGTGCACCAACCGCACGTGCCACACCCTCGACTTGAGCCGCAACCTGATCGGAGCGAACGAAGCGCTCAACGTTGTCCAGCCGGACCTTGTCACGGGCGGCGAAGCCCTCGCCGAGATGCTCGCGACCAACGGCCATTTGACGGTGCTCAACCTGAGCTGGAACTTTTTGCGACTCAACAGCGCCGTCGAGTTGGGCCGGGCGCTGGCACAAAACAACAGTACGTCCGCTTGCCATCGTCGTGATCGTCACATAAGCGCGCCGTCTAGCGCTCAAGGCGCTCAACTTGAGCTACAACGCGTTCGGAAACGACGGCGCGCAAGCGATCGGGTGCGCGCTCCAGCACAACATGTGCCTGGAATCGCTCGACATGTCAAACAACAATATCCCGAGCCAGGCGGCGTTTGTGATGGCCGAGAGCCTGCACCACAACGACACGCTGACGTTGCTCGCCATGGACGGCAACCCCCTCGGCCGCATTGGCGGGATGACGCTGCTCCATGCGATCTCGACCGCATGCAACAAAGCGCTCACGATTTCCCTGCTCGGGTGCAACTTTGCCATGGACGACTCGGGCGGGTTTGACCCGTCCAACGCGACGGTAATGCCGTCGGTAGGCGTGTCGCTGATCGAGCGGCGGCAGGGTGCGTACGATTTGAACATGGACGTCCCGTACGAGCGCGCGATCGCGCTCGAGCTTC